GGATGCCTGTGTCTCCAGTTGAGTTAATTGGTTGCAAGCAGTAAATTTAAACAAGTAAATTCAGGCAGTAAATTCAGACAAGCAGTATATTCAAACAAGCGGTAAATTCCTCTTTCCCTAACAGTACCTTGATGCGAGCTTGAGTTATTTTCTTTGTACCATGTACTCCTCAGAGTTTATTTGACAAACATATGTACAATATTTTATACTCAGAAAGAAGCAAACTAGTACACCTACAGCCACCAGATCTATAAAACCTGACAGGTAACCTGAATCCCTCTCAGGGTTTTGGTCATCTTTAGCCAACTGCAGCATCTACCTCTCTTTGTTTTCTTAAGGTATTGATTGATAGGCTCATTTAATTGCATGTTCTATATTTCTAAAATATTTTTTTATTTTTTGTGTATGAGTACATTGCCTGCATGTATGTAAGCACACCTGTGTCATGCAACACCCATGGAGGTCAGAAGAGGGAGTCAGATCCCCTGGAGCTGGAGTTAGAATGGTTGTTAGCTACCATGTGGGTGCTGGGAACTGAACCCAGGTCCTCTGCAAGAGTAGCCAGGGCTCTTAACCACTGAGCCATCTCTTCAGTCCCAGGATATAACTTTTGATGTTAAAAAAATTAAGTTAGGGCTGGAGAGACTGTTCAGTGGTTAAGAGCAGGTACTGCTGTTCCAGAGGACCTGAGTTCAATTCTGAGCAGCCATGTTGGGTTCTCTGCAAAAGCCAGCCAGTGCTCCTAACCACTGAGCCATCTCTCCAGCCCCATGTTTTATATTTCTAATGCAAAGTTATTTCTTTTTATGTCCAAACTTTTTCTGTAGGGATCACATTAATCAGTTTATATCAGTTTCCCCAAATCTTTAATTTTTAGACATTTTGTGTGGGTATGTGTAGGTCAGAGGACAATATGCTGAAATTGGTCCTTTTCCCATGTGGTCTGGGGGATCAAACTCAGGATGTCAGGCTTGGCAGCAAGTGCTTTACCCACAGAGCCATCTCACCAGGTCCCCAAATATCTTTTTTGCTTTGATAGTCATTATTGATATTTGATTTTCTTGAATTTCCTTGAGGGGCTGAAGAGATGGCTCAGTGGTTCATAGCACTGGCTGCTCTTGCAGAGGGCCTGGTAAGTTTAGTTCCCAGCATCCACACAGCACCTCAAAACTGTCTATAACTTCAGTTTCAAGGGATAAAACACCCTCTTCTGGCCTCTACAGGCACTGCATGCATGAGGTTCACATACATACACACAGAGAAATATTCATTCACATAAAATAAAAATCTTTTTTAAAAGTTCCTTAAGGAAACCTACAAACTCCTTGTTAGATGAAATAGCTTTGGAGGTTAAATTAATGTGTAGCAAACAAAGCCCATATTGGTTTTACAGTTTTGTTTTCCTAGCTTTTCACCACGATGTTCCTTCCTGGATGTTTCCCTCCCTTCCTCCTCTTGTCTCATTTCACCTTTGCTCCCTCCTCTCTCTTCCCTCACCACCCCCTCTGCCTTTGTCTCTTCCTTTCCTTTGTTCTCTTTCTTGTTTTTTTTTTGGACAGAACTTTATTCTTGGCATCCTGTCTCAAAAAATAAGGTGGAGACCTGTGAGATGGCTCAGTGCGTAAAGACTCTTCTCATTCTGACAACCAAAGTTTGCTCCCCGGTATCCACATGGTGGAAGGAGGGAACAGACTACTGGACCTTGTCTTCTGATGTCCACACACGCACCATGGCACACTCACATCCTCCTTGCCCCCCATAAATAAGTAAATAAATTTTCAAAAGGTTTGAAAAACTAAGGTGGAGAGGAATTAAGTAAGACACTAACACTAAGGTCAATCTCTAGCCTTCACACATGTGTTCACACATGCACAGCCACCCACACATGCACACACACACAATACTTTTTAAAAGTACTCGAATTTTCTCCCTTTACTCTTGCTTTTATCCCAGCAGTTAAAAATTTTGGCACACCACCAGGCATGGTGGCGCACGCCTTTAACCCAGCATTTGGGAGACAGAGGCAGACAGATCTTTGTGAGTTCAAGGCCACCTGAGAGACCCTGTCAAGAAAGAAAGAAGAAAGAAAGAAAGAAAGAAAGAAAGAAAGAAAGAAAGAAAGAAAGGTCGTCTTCTTTTTCCTTTTTTCCCAGTCAGGTCATCTGTATCTTCACTGCAGCAGCCACTTCCCAAAGGAAGGTATGTTGAGCTCTAAGTAACTTACTAAGCCAAATGTCAAATAGTTACTAAAGTGATTAAGATTCTCACATCAAAAGAGCCAGTGTGGTGGCACACACCTTTGATCCCAGCACTTGGGAGGCAGAGGCAGGAGGATCTCTGAGTTCCAGGCTAGCCTGGTCTCCATAATGAACCCAGGCCAGCTGCGGCTACAGGGAAACCCTGTCTCAAAAAGACCAAAACAAAACAAAACAAAAAAACAATGTCTTAAAATATTTCCACTATGTTTTCTTGCTTAGTTCAAAGTCTTAACATTTAGGTGTTTTGCCAGGAGTGGTGGCACACACCTTTGATCCCAGCCCTTGGGATGAGAGGCAGGCAGATTTCTGTGAGAGGTTGGTCTGGTCTACAGAGTAAGTTCCAAGCCAGATGGGGCTACAGGGAGATCCTGTCTCAAAACCAACCAACCAACACACCTTTATATCTCTGCTGTAGTTTCAGTTGACTTTTGCACAGTGAACGTGAGAGGGATCACACTCCAACCTGTACATGCACCTGCAGTTTAGTTCTCATCAGCATGCTTGACAGGAAATAAATGACTCTGCTCCAGACACTTTCTTCACAGCCCTTTGCTCTTGCAATCTATTCCTGAGAGGATAACTCTGTCATCCAGATTCCACTGGTAATATCTGCACCCAGTTGTCTATCATGGAACTTTATTTCAACTCACAGACTGCATGCCCTCAACACATCACTAGGCAGGACCGCCTGGCTTTTACTCACCCCACAGACAGTCTTGCTCTAAGAGTAACTTTGATGTCAATCATCACGGCCTCCAATAGTAGAACTGGTTTTAGATTAATCGTCAAACCACAAGACAACACAACATGCATAGTACAGACTCAACTTTTCTGGGCTGAGGTGGTCCACAGACACATCAGCCTTACACAACCAAGGATGTTATGTACTGCCCTGCGTTAGAGCTTAGCCTGAGCCACTGCAAGGTCTGATGTGGCAAAGCTGCTGGCTAGTGTCTGCTTCCTGTCTCCTTTTATGGTGCTAAATAAACCCAGTGCTGTGCTAATATCTCTTTGGTCCATTTAACCTAAACTTGAGACCACTGTTGGTGGCAATGTTAATATGTAATACATATTTATTGTGGAAAATAAGAAAAAGCATAAGGAAAGCTAATGCGGGGGCTGAAGAGATGGCTCAGAGGTTAAGAGCACTCACTGCTCTTCCAGATGACCCAAGGTCAGTTCCCAGTACCTACTGTGCTGGATGCTTTAGTGTCAACTTGACACACCAAACCTGGGTCGAGGGAGCCTCAATTGGGGAATCGCCTTCATTGGACTGGCCTGTGGCCATGTCCATGGGGTATCTTCTTGATTGTTGAGTGATGTGGGAGGGCCCAGCCCACTGTGGGTGGTGCCACCCCTGGGCAGGTGGGCCTGTGTTGCATAAGAAAGCAGGCTGAGCAGGGGCCAGGGGACCAAGTCAGTAAGCAGTGTTCCTCCATGGCCTGTGCTCCAGCTCCTGCTTCCAGGTTCCTGCCCTGAGTCCCTACCTTGGGCTCCCTGATGAACTGTGACCTGGGAGATGTAAGCTGAATAAAACCTTTCCTCCCCAAGTTGATATTGGTCGGTGTTTTGTCACAACAATAGAGAAACAAAGTAGGACACCTACATAGCAGTTAACATCTGTAACTCCAGTTCCAGGAGATCCCTCTTCTGGCCTCTGAGGGCACCACACACATACACGGTGCATTTACATACATGCAGGCAAAACACTCATGCACTAAAAATAAAAAAAAGCAAAAACAAAAGGTTTTATTTTTTTAACAATTTTTTAAATATATATATATGTATATATATATAATTTTTTTTTTGGTCTTTTTGCAACAGGATCTCCCTGTAGCCCCAGCTGTCCTGGAACTCACTATGTAGACCAGGCTGGCCTTGAACTCACAGAGATTCACCTG